TAAACAATAATAAATGATTTAGTCATTTTAGCTGATCAAAGTAAATATAAACTGTTGATAATATTTCCTGTTATGTCACGTCTGATGGATTATTTCGGATTTGTTATAATTTTGTAGGATGTCAAAACCATCAAAAAGAATGGATTTTTAAGGATTGTGAAACGAAAATAAAATAAAAATAATATTTGATTATTTTCTAAGAGCATATTCTTTTTGCCAGTATTATTTGATTAGTCAATAATTTTCTGTTATTAGTTAAGTTAAAAAATAGTTTCTTTCCTTTTTTGAACAATTTTATCCTTGTTATTTACAAATGTTAAACAAGAACAAATGAGCGTTTTGAGCGTGGATCGTTGTTTCAAGCAACGCGAATAAACCTTTTGTTAAATGAAATTTGTCGTTTATGGCGAAGGCTATAAACAAAAGGTCTATTCACGTTGCTTGAAATTCTAAAAAATTTTTGCGTTTGAAGTGAAATAAATATATATTTGGGTATTGAAGAGGAAGAAAAAGAAGATACCTAGTGCACAAAAAAATACAAGCAGACAGACTTAAATAAACAATCGATGCATTTTTAAATCGAGAGTTCTCATTTTCTGCCACGAGGCAGATTATGCGAAGCGGGTTACGAGTAGATTTACGCGAATTCGATGAAGCTAGCACGCGGAAAACGCCTATCTACAGCCTAATGAAATTCTACGGAGATAGTTATTGGTCGAATGGGATGGAATCGAGGTTCGAGGCCGGCTCTTGTGCGCATAAGCGGTGACGTTTACACGGACTCATAGTTCAGCTACTAGATCGGTAAACCGCCACGGAAGGCCGGAATTAATTGATCCGTGAGCCTCTCAATAATGATTATTGGCGAATAAAGGATGCGGCCAGTATTGAACTTTGTTGAGTTTCCCACGCTGTTTGCCGGCCTTTAACATGGAGATGCGATCATCGCTCGATATGAATATACGGCAATTGTGTCGATCGCGATATGAAAGATACTAGCCCCTATATGAACTATGAAATATACGCGCTCGTGTATGCGCGAGTATAGAAGACATCACGGTACTTGGAATAAAAATGTCGTGCTTATATTTTATCGCAATTCCTGCGACATTTCTCTTTAGTTCTAATAGAATTCTTTACTCTACAATCATTTTTAATTTTCCAATACCACTTTGTGCCTTTTAAGACACAGTCGATAACGTTATCTCAAAATTTTTATTCAGATTTCAATACGTAAAAAAATAAAGTCCAGTTTTTGTTAAAAACTTATTGTTAAAAGTTTCATAAGAATTTTTTCAGATTTTTATGTACTCCGGAACCATAAAAAATATATTGTTCTTCCTTCAACGACCCAGAGTGTAAACTATGATGGAAAATTTCGGGGTGGTGTTGGAAGGTTATATAGAATTCCGGCTGCTACTTTTTTAATTTTGGTATAAAAAATTTAGTATAAAAAATGCGGAACTCTTTTATTTCGATAAAGAACTGCATGTAGAACTATAAAAAGTGCGCGCGCTAATGTCATTATTTTTTTTTAGATTAATAGAATGTCGTTTTAACAGTGCTTCACAGATCCCACTTTTGCAGGGTAACCATGAAGTTAGCACGACATTCTATTAATATGAAAGAAATAATGTCAGTTCCACTAGCGCTTTTCATAGATCTACAGTTTCTCATCAAAATAAAATAAAAAATTTTATATTTTTTATACTAAAAAATCAAAATGAAATATATAGCATGCTAACTTCGCGAATCTAGAACACTTCCCCTCTAAAGTACAAGAAAAAGAAAAATATTTCCATTTTTTACTACAGTGCCTGTTAATATTGCTCGAGTTGTACCAACGTATGTAATTTGAAAGCAAAATTCCATTAATTACCAATTTTAATAGACTTTAAATGTAGGTTTTATAGCACGTTAAATTGTTCAAATTTTGCTAGATGAAAGTTCCAACGGCAGTATATTTAATCGTCTATTGGTGGAATTAATTGTTTCGTGTTTCTCGCAACGAAATACCGGAACAAAATTTTACACATTTCTCTTCACTCGCTAGAATTAATGTAATTTTTGGTACTAATGTATGCTGACTTTAATGGCGTAGTTAATAGCGTAATTAGCGAGTAAATGCTAGTTAATTAACCTTTAAAACCTTTAGAAAGGAAGAACAAATGCCATAGTATAATGAAAAAAATACAATTTTTTTTTAATGGTATTCTTAAGAGCGCGTTCAAAAGAAATCGCGTGATTGCGTTATCTAATGGACCGAAAAATTTATTCGCGCTTTTCTCTTCGCGATGATTATGATAATATTAATAATAAATAATATTATGAATGATGCTTTCCCGTTTACATTGTTAAGCAATACAGCAAACTCGTCGTCTCGTTTTCAAACGAGCGCTTTACTTCTGTGTCATCATCGCTCGATGATCCGTGAAACCATTGTTCAATACAGCTTCGATGGCGGCCGTTTAAATTCCGCGGCGATTTAGCCGTATTTTACAGACGAGTGGCAAATATGTCACGACGCAATGAGAGAGAGAGATGATGTCTCTCATACCCTCGGTCTCGTGGGCGATGTGACGACAACGAGGACGACGAGACGATCGATTTCTACCTCGTTTCGTCGCCTCCGCCGCGCTCGAAGTACCGGCGAGTGTTCCACCCTCTCAACTGTTCGGGTGAAGGCTATACGTTTAAACAACGGGAGCATTGTTCCTCTCTCACAGGCAAGCTTCCACGAGCGTTTAACGAAATTACTTTGAAACGCGAAGAAGTAGCTCCTCGGCTTGCGCTCCTCGTTGCTCTCCCTCTTCGCGGAAACGGCTTCCCTTCCGCCTTCTTTTTACGTTCTCTTTCCACTTTCTCTCGTTTCTTCCTCTCCTTTTCGTTCTTCTTAGCGGTCGTACGCCTCCAGTCGCCGATCCTTGGATCGGTTGGACGAGCTTTAAGAACGACCCTCTTAAACCGCGTTAGAATTACCTGCTCACCGATCTCACGCTCTTACTTTCTTTCATTCTCGTCGCTCGTTCAAGGCAAACTCGTCTTCCTTCCCGTTTTCCGCGCTCGTTTCCCGTGTAGTAAACAAAACCGGGCAACTCATGCTACGTAATTATCACCAGCGATGCCGGCGAGAAGCTTATCGGTCGTCTATCCGTTCGTCTTCCAAGGGGAACTGTAAAAATCCCCTGAAGGATTTCTTACAGAGAGTAATGGCCGTAACTGGCGATGTTCTCGGAAATTAACGCGGAATAATCGTACCGGTACGCGGTAATGACTGACATTAAATCCGAGGATACGCTTTTAAAAGACACTCGGTGAACGTCAAAAACGGCAATCTTCTTTTCTAGCTATTTTGATGGATTGAAGCACGACTCAGATTTTCTCTTGTCGACACTAGAAATCTAGGATTACTTGAAGATACAGAGTCAGTCAGAAATTATTCGTTATAAGGAAAATAGGTTGCCTTGAATAATTCATCTTCCTCTAAATGACAAATGCATATGCATTCAAACGACGGAAACTGTGATGCCTCTATGCAGTTCGAGTTGGGACATTATCTTTTGAATCTTTTAACAAATCTGCAATTTTCTTCATTGCAGTTTGCTTTGAATGTTACAGTATTTGTGCAATTGTTTTACACGTGTAATTTTGTGATTTTAATATATTTTTCAATGGATTTTGGATGCTATAACTACCGCGTGTGTCCATGATATTATTGCAACATTTACATTGGTTACACTGCTTAGTGATAGAAAAAATACAAAACACTGTATAAAAAAAAACACTGTAGAAGCGATAATAATGGGTTAGTCCAATTTTTAGGACAAATAAAAAAAGTGTCAGTACTGTCCCTCTTATTCATTTTCACTAACATTGCATATTCGGTTACATTGTGGTTTAGCCTATTTTTGCAGCAAGCCCTTCAATTATTTCACTTTCTTCTATCCTTTGATTTATGGTAAAATAAGTAATCCTTAATATTCACGATTGGGATCATTCGTGTCTTACACATTTCTTCGAAAAATTATAGGTACATTAAATAATTAATTATCATATTTATATACATTTTTAAAAATACACGACCTTATAAATATTTTCTTAAGATGTTAAAAATGTAAAAATCATTTAATAATTTTTGTATATTTGTTGAAAAGTGATGAAAATTAATCTGGGTCAACACATGATGGGAATGACTCATCGTATGAAGTGAAAAGGACTGGAAAATCATGGGTTAACTAAGGGTTAACAATCAGCATGTACTCTCAAGAATAAGAAATATACCAAAAAGTTTGCAGGTTATCGTCGTGGGTAAAACTTTCCCTTTACATAGCTAGTCCCAAATGATCTCCGAGTGACCTTGACCCTTAAGAAGGTCAAGGTCATTAACCTTTTCCGTCATTCGTTAAAAAGTTTCTCTGCTTTAAAATAGATTTCCTGCTTTAAAAACAAAAATTCTCTCGCTGGAAATCTATTTTACAGTAAAGAATATTTTTGTTTTTAAAGCAGGAATTCTATTTTAAAGCAGAGAATTTTTGGGGGACTCCCTCCACCTCCCCCCCTGCTTAAGGGCGCATGACTTTCTACGTGAAGCGGGGTTTACCCCCACATCCCCTTGTCAAGGGAAAATATTGCTGATATATGTACCTTATGTTTAAAAATTGTGTACTGTTCATAAAAATTATTTTGTTCATAACTTTTTAATGAATAACGAGCGACAGAAAAGGTCAATGACCTTGACCTTCATAAGAGTCAAAGTAAAGGTCAAGGTTACTCGGAAGTCATTTGGGCTGTAAAGGGAAAGTTTTACCTCGTTGTGTTTTTATCCATTGCTAATACCATTAGCTAACCTTCTGATATCTTTGAAGATAATACCCGTGAAAGCCTAAAAAGCATTATCAGTATAAAATATATTTAAAAGGTAGATATTTAAGAAATAACATGATATCGCGTATACAATTTTGCGTAAGAAAATAATTTTTGATGTGAACTCATCGCTCAACTTGCGTCTCGGCCGAGATTAAGCTCGCTTCACGCGAACTTGTTGCGTGTCGCATGCCATAAGAATGACCGGGCGATTGGAATCGCGCGGTGACGAAAAAAAGGAATATTAATCTAAATAAGAATACACAATGGTGCTGCGTGACCTAGCGAACTTGCACAAAATAAGATTGATGTCACTTTTCGGCGTCTCGAGACGCGAATATACATAATTCTAAAAAATATTAACGCCGTTTTTCGTGCACCGAACATGCGTTGTAACTATACGGTACAAAAAGTACGGATTGCGCTTTTTGCACGTGCATTAGCTTTCAAGTTAATTAATTACTTAACCGACTCATTGTTTCATTCTAATTCTGTTTTATATTTTTAATTGAAGAGTTTGCTGCAACAATGGATCCTGATGGAAATCTCCTCATGATGGGAAGATTTAGAACGGGTATATATTCATTTTAGATGGGTATACCATATAAAATACCCTTCTAAAATGGAAATATACCCATGGGTCATGGGCATTTTTGAAACTATCTATAAGAAGATTTTCACTAAGGGACTAACCTACATTTTGTAAAAGCGGAGAAAATAAACTGTAAAGTTATAATAGAAAAATACATTTATTTGAACATGTTTACGAAACTTTCTCACGTTTTGGCACATGTTCGAAAAGTTTCTTACAGATTGTAGATCGTGAATAAAGAATATTATAAGAGGAATAAAATTTCTCTGCATCCGATGGTGGTTATATTGCTGAGTGACAAAAAAAGAAAATACGAATCATTTTATAAACATAACAACAATAACAATAAGTTAGCTTCTGGGACAAATAAAGGAGGACTTCATCTTATCCATTTGTAAAGATCCTATAATAAGAGTTTGGTCAAAGCGAATAAAAAGTGACAGATAGATAGCTATCTATCTCTTTCTTCCTTCTTTCTCTCGCTTTCTTTGGTTTTCCAAAAATATACGAAATTATCTGAATAATATACTGAATGGATAAGTAACGACCAATCAAAAGATTGATCTGCTTTAGCCAGACTTTTATTATAGGATCTCTCTCTTGCATTTCTACCAATATCACATATTCGTTGTGGGTCAGTCTATTATTGCAGTAAGCCTTCAATTATTTCGCTTTACCACTTTTCTCTTTCTTCTATGCGTATCATATTTGTATTAAAAGTTCATCTCAGCCAGCGAAATTTAGTTCGCTAACATTTCGCAACTGTTTTGAAATAGGATAGCGTTAGCCCAGTTGATACCGATCAAACAGAACTACGGGAAGGTTACTCTTCTGGTTCTCTCAGCCTTCGTCGAGTACACACAATAGAGGACTTATCGAGAGGCTCGTAGAAAAGCCGAAAAGCCTACGCGAACACTGGTCGTCTGGTCTTTGCAGTTGAGACGTGGCGAACCGTAAACCGTGGATGTTTTACCGGAACGATCCAGAACGACGATCCCGGGCGGATGGAGCAAGCGTGAGCGCGATCCGGCTTGGGGATCAGCGACCATAAATTCGAGGCTGACCGCACGGAAGGACCGTTCTGCGGTGCCGATATTATTAGTTTACGAGAACAGTGACTAAACTATAGACGGCCACTAAAATAGACGAGGATAGCCGGTTAGGCTCAGGAGGCAGGGGGTGAAGCGAACAGCAGATCAAGAGAGAGAGAGAGAGAGAGAGAGAGAAATGTTTAGGGGATGGTGGTTACCGTACGCGTGGTCTTGGCCACCTAGCACCCTCGGTTGTTTATGCCTCATTAGCCGCAGTAGTTACGTCAGTGCCCTTAACTATCCTACGAATTGAACACCGTGTACCCGTGCCCCTTTACCAACGCGCGGCTCGTCTGCGATCTATAACGTATCCGATATGCATAGTTGTAGCCACACCGCAACGACGCGACCGCCGTTGAATATTCGAGCGACCGCGCATAATATTACCGAATCTACCGGCTGGCATGCAAAAATATGTGTTATATTAATGACACGCCGTTCCTCCGTGGCACACAGACTGATAAGAATTTCTGGCGCAAACTTTCTGATGCGACGCTCCCGGTATTTCTGTGTATGACTATCACTGCGTACTTAAACTTTCAAGACTCCACTGAAAATGTTGATACTTTGTACGTTTCGACTTTGCGTTTGTAGAACCGAAGGAAAGTTTGTGATTCGAAAGATTTTTATGGATTATTAAAATGGACCGTTGAAACTTGTTGATCCCGCGATGCACAGACTCCGAAATCAATCGAAATAATTTGTAGGAAAATTTCGCGCTTAATATATCTGTGAAAAATATTATTGGAAGAGTTATTGGAAAATATCATCTGGGAATTATAATAAGAATTGCACACGCACGCTCTAATTTAGCGGTATTACACAATATTGAAATAGAATTCTCGTAATAAAAAGCTTCCAGTATATCTCTGACTGCTACTGCGCACTCCACTGCAGATTTCATTGAAATGCTAATGTCTTCCTATGTTTCGATTTTGCATTTGTAAAATTAAAGGAATTAAGTGTGTAGCGTCTGGGGTCTAAAAGATTTGTATGAATTATTAAAAGGGTACATTGAAACTTATTAATCCCACGATGCACAGATTCCAAAATCAATCGAAATAATTTTTTGAAAAATTTTGTGCGTATGTGAAAGAATTATTATTCGAATCATTGGAGAATTTTTGGAGTAAGAATTGAACATGTCCAATTGAATCCAATATTATGCAATATTGAAATATGAGTTGCCATAATAGAAAGCGTATAAATGAGAATGGCATAGTGTTTTTTCTCGCACATTACAGTGAAAAGCGCGCTCAGAACTTTTTTGCAGAAGTTACAGATGCATATTTATACATATACATGATATATATATATATATATACAAAATATATATACGACTTCTACATGAACACGGACGTTTCGCAAATTCACGCGTTACTTTTTTCGTCTACCGGATTCAGTGGATTAATAATTCCAGACAACTCTCGAAGTACTATAAAATTCTATCGTATGCTGAATTTAATTTAACAGACCTTCATTTCCACGCAATTATGAGACCGCGGCAACCAGATTGAACGTGTCAAAAGGTGAGATAATTCGCTTTATCGGTTCTCTTTCTCTCTCTCTCTCTCTTTTCGTTTCGACATTATAAGGACTAAATTCCCGGCACTTATTTCACGAATGTCGAGTGACGGGTTGCAAAATAAAAGACTAAGGAGATCGCGCAGACGGATAAGCCACTTTTCTCTTTTTCCGAGAACTCCGATGTACAATAAAATATCGCGCCACCCTTAAAGGCAATAACTGACGTGGAATTGTATAAATCCGGGGATATCCGACATATCTTCGGAAAATATTCAGCATATTTCCGTATATCAGCAAGTGTGGCGTCTGTGTATTTCGCGTGCACGTGCCTTCCACCATTTCCTCCGTTCTCTTCGTTTTCCTCCGTTCTACTTTTACTTTCCACTTTTGTACGTCAGTCGACGCATGCGGAGTTATCTAACATAGCCGAGGCTTAAAGCTTTTGCTGGCAAGCCTTCGCGATTCGCGAAAATAGAGACGGCGCTTCATAATCGTTTCCTACTAATAGAGTTTCAGCTTTGGCGCTTTTATCAGACCTCGAAAACTAGATACGAATTGTCGCAACGACGAAACGGTGTTCAATTGAAGCGCGACTGATTACATGGTGTGTACCACCACTCACGTTACATTCACGTAGCTTCCGCTTTTCCCTTTGTAACAGATAGCACGTAAAAGTTTTAATGTCGCGATCAACGCCTGCATCCACTCGCAATCAACGCTTTCGAAGCGGAATATTAAATATTTCAATTTACTGCCGGATATCCCCCGTCCGATTCCTCCGAGAAATCGTATTTAAATCGAGGACAACGCAAATATCCACGACTACCAGAAAGGAATCATTTAAGTTTCATTCTTTACGTGCAAACAATTTCACGGCACGAGAGCTCTCTGCAGAAAGGCAATTTCTATTTCGCGGAATGGCTTTGCGTCGTCATTGTTTTGCATAAAAGTCACCGAAGACCACAAATAAAAGCCTGTTCCGCGTATATGCGATATTGTGCAAAAAATATATTACTTTATTAAGAATTTTGAGAAAGCTTTCTCGAGTATAGAATTTCTTGCTATCGAGCTATATTTATATATAGCTTTTATTCAATTTTACAGTTTTACCGTCATTCTTGTTGCACATTGCCATTTATCTGTGTTTTATATGTACGTGGGAAACTTTTTACAGTGTCTGTATTGTATTGTATCCGAGGCGTCCGATAAATCGCCGCGTCACCGTGTGCACGGCACTACTTTGTCATTTCGAATTTGAGCAACAAAGTTTCATCGTGGAAAGCAGTAATAGAAACTTTGCGCCGACAGCGGAAGCTTGTATACTGGGAATCCGCAAGTTACCAACATCCGGTGGTACTATTACGAACGTGAGGTGCATTTACGAATATTGGTAGCTATTATAAAAATATATACAAAGAAATTACTAAGTTAATAACTCAACTTTAAACTGCACAAAGTACATTTTTATCGAGATGTAAAACGCATTAAATACTTAAATATGAAATTATCAATGAACAATACATCGACCATCGATGTTATTAATTAATAGATAATTATAAAAACGATACTCGTCATTCTTTTTCGACGCTACTGACGTTTATTTTCCGCAATCTATAGTGGTAAACTATGATTATAGTTTTCGAGTAATGACGTTACGATCGTCGTATATTTGCGTCCGCATTTATCAAGCGCGGAAATCAACGAACGAATTGCGCAAATTGCGATACATTAATTTTTGCGCGCCCTCGTTTGCCCGGGTTTATTGCTGACGAATTCGAACAGCGAAAATTCTGCAGGAGGGAGAAACCCGGGTACGTTCCAGTGAAGAAAAATAACGCGATCCCTCAGCAACGTGGAGATGAGATGGAGGCGTAGACAGGCAACGAGCTCGTGGGTGTGGATATTTTGTAATTAAACAGGATAGAGTCCGTGAGTCCTGCGTTGATTCATCGTTTCGCATTATGGCCGAAATGTTTCGCAATTAAACGCTAGTTGCACCGTCGTTACTGCAATGAGACGGTGAAAAAATTAACGGGGGAAAAAAGGAGAGAAAAGAAATATCGGGAGACTTTTGTAACCGCGCGGACTTCTATACGCGAATAAAACGGTGATTACGCTCGGCAATGATTGATAATGACTTTACACGGCGCGGCACAGAAATGTCGGGATTCATTTGGGACGTGTATGTTTGTAATATATTTATCAACAGGACGCGTATAAAAATTTTTCGTTTATTTTACGCGTTTGCGTTTTGATGAAATTAAATTTTTTTTTTTAAGCATGTACGTTCGACGTATAAATTAATTTACCCCAAAATTGGCTCATTAAAAATCAAACGATAAATGTAATTCACCGAAACGTGCTTAATGCAAA